TTTCGATATTTTATGACTTTTTCGATGTAAAGGTTGAAACGTTAATAGTTCAGTGCTGTTGGAACCGAGCCGAGGTTTATCAAATTTTTACCCTATTTCCAACTTAATTTTATTAAAGCCGTCGTGAATCCGTGGTGTCCATAGCGAACGTGTTAAAAATAAAATGTAGAGATTTCCAAAGAGTAAAAATGATACTATAAGGTACCTATGCATATAGAATTTTGGGAAAGCTTCAAGTTGGAAATTGTAATTGTAATTCCTGGTTTCGCCTCCCACGGATAAAGCTTGCAGGGTTTTTGTGTCGGCGCACGCACTGCATCCACGTGCATATTGCAACGCGTTCTTTACGGTCATCGAGAGAGTCGGGTACAACGGTTCATTTGCAACCAGAGTGAAAAGAACATGAAAAGCAACGGGACGCGTGCGATTTTATGTCGTTGGTGCATGCCACGTCCGGTAATTCTTACGTCTGTCGGGCCATTATGGCTTCCATAAACGCGTGACCGTTCTTTCAGCGAACGAATAGACGAAAACTAATTACTTCGTACTGGCCGTAAATCTAATTACTTCGCCGAATCAAAATTTATAAAATTAACCTTCTGTGCCAGAGAAACGAGCAGTTATGGTTACAGAATGGCTTGCAGTTTATATAGAAATATTTAGACTATGTATTTTACTTGCTAATTACTTAATACCATTTCCATAGAAACCTCGGAAAATATTTTACATGCCCCCCAAAAAAAAGGATTGCATCCATCGATTATTTCAATCCGAAGCGACGGTGGAATAACAGAGGGAATTAAATAGCTAGGTAATCGAGTCGCGTGGTGCCGCATCCATCGACGAAACAGGACTCATCATCGAGCAGCTGGCGGGACAGGCTGGCAAAACGACGAACGGTTCCCGTAGCACGCGAATACGCAATTATTTTTAATTGCACGGGGGATCGGCGATCGCGTTCGGGGTTTCCGCGGCCGCGTTAAAATGCGTCTGGGTGTAAAATTGAAAGCTGCAAATCCGACGATCGGGCCGGGCTCCCGTCGATGCGATAATGTGATTTTCAACAAATAATTTCGCGTCGCGGTTTCGCGTCTGGAACAGACACGACGCGGATGACTCGCGAGGGTCCGCGAGGAGATTAGCGCGTTTCGTGCTTGAAAACGTCGCGAAATCGCGACAGGCCGAACAAAAGCGGGCTATTTGCCGCGGCTCGTTCGGCATTCAGCGGGAGAACAGGCGTCGAAAGGATTTTAAGTGGCCTCGCGAATTATACCGAATCGCGTTCGATCGGCCGTGTTATCGCGATTGCTTCGTTCTATACCGCGTTTTAACTGCGTGTGTATGGATTTCGATGTTCCGGTTTGCTGGCTGGCTTTCTTCCTCCACCGTTTTGCGAGGATCTCGATGACCAATTACGATTTCTATTGTAGTCTCCTGGCCAGCAAAGGTTTTATTTCATTCGAGATATAAGCACAGCGGATGCCAAAAGTATTTGACGAAAAATTGCTTTCAAGAGATTGTTCCAAGTATTAAACAATAAATATCTCAGTGACTGCGCACTTATTTCAAAACATGCGATCGTCAGAATGATTTAGGATGAAAGAATGATAAGCAGAGTATTTGTCTAACAGCTGGACTCTAGCAGGTGGTGAATTTTTGTTTAATCATCGACTCGAGTGTAACTTGGCCCACCTGCCCAAGTTCTCTTTCATTCTTCACGTTATCTCGATACAAATATTTGTATTTCATTTTGCTTTCCCACTAATACTTCTGCTTGAAACCAAAAGATCCGCAAAAAAGGCTGACTCAAAATGAAAAATATACGGATGGTGATCAGTTCGCAAATCGAAAGGGGGCAAAACGATGCGACGAGTCGATAAGCGGTGGTGGATTCTCAGAATTCTCCGCGGAGGAAACCGCATCGCCGGGAATGCGTTCTGCGAGTGGTCGGCCAAGCTCGATTACCGATCTTCAAAAAATCCGAAAGCCAGTCGGTTCGCCGGCTTCGTTTTCAAGGAATCGTATTCAACGGCGGGAAAAATCGGTCGGTTAAGATTACGCTGGCTCCGGTAGCCATCCAATTGTATGGAATACGCGCGAGCTTAGCTTCTATCCTGTGCCGAGGGTTTCTCTCAGCTCGGTGAACTTCCGAGATTGGAATCGCATTGTCACCGGGTTTATCGCAATTATCCTGGCCCCGTACGCGTTTCGTGGGAATGTAATTAGCTCGAACGGCCGTGGCAAACAATAACGTTTACCGAACGAAAGCGCGAGTGCACGCGAATTCAGGGTTTTTTAAGATTTCATTGATACCACGTCGTTTACTCGCTTCTATTCCCGTGTTTCTGCCTTCATTGAATATGGGTCCACGCGTTTTGTGCCGTCTATTTAAAATTTGGACATTTAAACATCTCAGGAGCCATCTCAAAAATTGCCAATTTAACGAAATAGGAGTCTGGAATCTAAGTACCGTGCGTTGCCGACTTTCCAAACGCATCCTTGCTGTCTATAGAAAAGTATAATGCGAGTGCAAGTCAAGTCCCGATTCATCCCGGCGATACGTGAGGAATGAAATCTCGACTAGAAGAATCATGCATCGCTTCATAAATCAAAACAGTCAAATTGGACTTCATCGGTTCGAACTGGAGTCTCGTAAATCAAACCTTAGAGAAGAATGACGCGATTGAACGATCAACGAGCAAGTTTAACGATGATCGAACAACGGCACGGTTTCTTCGATTTTTACGAAGAATTTCCAACAAGAAATCGAGGAACCCCCGGCGGAGTATAACAGCGATGAGAACGAGAGAAGCAAATAGGATGAAAACGAGCAAGCAGAACCGCAGCGTCGATGAAAGGAGGATCCAATTCTATTCACGCGCGCGCTCTGATACAAGGTTAGAAGAGATAAGCATCGCCGGATTAATTATGCGTAATGCGTCGGGACGTGTGCACCGCGTGCGTGCGATTCTCTGTACAGGCCGGGGCAACCAAGACCCGTTCGTTCTCTGTCTCCGCTGTTCGCCGGACCTAACGCATTCAATTATCATTGTTACTCCGGGAGTTTACAGATGTTTCCGTGATAATCACGCTGCTACGCGATTGCACGTTTATCCTGCCGGCTCGTATTAACCCGCCATTGAATGGCGACGCTGACCAGACAGAGAGAGGAAGCTCATCGGCGTATTCCCCTCTGGATATCCTCGAAGAGGAACAAAGCGGAGAATAGTAGCACTGCGTGGCGTCCACGCGACTTAATTAGGCTCGTTGAAAAAATTCACGCGGTCTTGGCGGCCCTGACTGAAAGAAACTGGCGTTTACACAGGATTGGGGAGTAGTTAAGGAATAGTGAAGGTTATTAAGAAGATAATTTGCAAAGAAAAATTGAAACACAAGTAACTTTATTTAATATCTTTCGTGTTACATTTTTGAAATCCCCCGTGGGAACGTTTTCAAAATGCAGAATCAATACGTTTAATCGAAACATCCAATTGAAAAGCATCGGTGTGTAACAAAGATGATCGCGTGTACCATGGCAGCACGAGTTCGTTTTTGGAACGTTCCCCGGGGGTGTTTTGCGTAACCACCGCTTCAGATTTCGTCGGGAGGGATGAGGGGGGAAAAAAAAGAAATTAAAACATAAACGGCGCGCCGTCGAATGGAAATAAATAGTTTGCGAGTTTCTGCTAGAATTCCGGTTGCACGGTTGGCGAACACGCGCGGTAAGGGAAACACGGTATTGGCGTTGCCTCGCTCTATTTCCGTCCCTCTGTTTTTCGAAACCCTTTTTCTCTTTGCTGGCGCTTCGTTTCGCTTTCTGTATTCTTTCTCCGTCCCTCTGCCGGCGTCGGCTCGAATGTTTTCATTCGACGGGGTACCATTGTGTGGCGCCCGCTAAATACCGAAACGCTGATGCGAAAACTGTTTTCCTTTTTGCCTTCGTTAACCCACATTCACCGTGCGAACGTCCGACTCGCGTGCGCTTCGTTCGTTGGCTCGTCTAACCCTTGATGCTTCGCCAACAACACGTCTACGCCCTCTCCAAGCAAATTAAACTGATTTATAGCGTTCGAGTACATCTGTCTCTAGCTTCTGACAGAAGTTGAGGATTTTTTAACAATACTCGACAGCAGCTGGTAGGAATTTGAAATTTTACTGTTCGAGGGATGAACATGCAACGCTATGTAGCTGCCGGATGGTTTCTAAACCATGTTTGAATAGTACATCGGGAAAAATCCACGACGACGCGTCGTTATCGCTGCGAATTTCAACAACGATAGGCGGGACCAGGTGTGCCAGTTGGATTAGGCGCGAAATCGCACGGATAACATGTTTTCCTTCGGTAATGCCACGCGACAAAGGGATTTCACGAGGGTGGCTGACATGGAGTTTAAATTTTAGGGAAAAAAGTGATACGCGATGTCGGACACGCGTAAACACGCTGCGTACGAGGATCAAGGGGTGCGAGATGATCCCATGAATCCAGGGATTTTAGAAAGGATCTTGTACACTTATTCCCTTTTTTTTTGGTATTAATGTCTTGCCATCTGTGAGTTAAAACGTATTCATCGAGCACCCACTCGAGTTAAATTATCATTCGCGTCTAATGGAGTTGATAAAAATGAGATAAATAATAAATGGCGTAAAAAATTAAGCGTCAGTCTATTAATAGCAATCTACAATAACGAGTAACCAACCAAACAAGATACCTTAGAAGGTAACAGTCAATGATCGAAAGCCACGTACGATCAGCTTGACGAAGACAAATCAAATCTCATAATAATCCAACTTGTCTCTCAGTCAGTAATTTAGTTCTTTTAACTTGGCTCAACCGTACACGATTCGCAATAACTTTCATCTCGGATCGAGTCGTTATTCTAACGAGTCAAAGAAAGTACCTGGACTCGATTAAAAAAAAAAAAAAAAAAAGAGACGCCGATGTACGTAGTCGCGGTAGCAATTACTTTCACCTCTAACGATGTCCGTTGGTTTGTTTGCAGGCGTAGTCGGAGCTCGGAACTTCACGATGGAGTGCCGCAAGGGTCGACGGAAAGGTCTACTCAGTGGCCTGGTGTTTGCGTGGCTCCTAACCAGCGGTTGCACCGTCGCAGCGCGAAATATAGGTGAGTGAGAAAGTATTTACGATTTCAGCGTGCGTCGATTCCTGGCGAAAGACCTGTCCTCCGGCCTCCGTTCTGTCCTTGTGCCAATTAAGCCTCTCCGTGCGAGTAGCGAGCGCGAATATTTACGCGCTGCACGATCCTGCTTGTGTTTTCGAGGCTGTTGAAAAATTTCCCTTTCGAACCGAACGCGAAACGTTTTGCAGCCAGAAGGTATTCGGACGGAATGGCAGGAGTACGCGGCGCGTTTGCTTTGCACGAGGATAATTAGCGGGACGGATATGTTTGACAAGACCTGGCTCCTTTGAAAAATCAACAGGTATGGCAAGAATTAATTTTCACACTTTAAACAGAGGAAGGCGACGCGTAGAGTCATGTAACAGCAACTAGGGGTGGGTTTTAAAACGGTGATGGATAATGCGCTGCATATCCGGTTGAGGGAAACCGCGGTTCGACGTCCTTTATGCATTGACCATTGAAATACATATTCATCGAAAAGCAAACACACTATGTTTAATAACGAGGATGAAAGTAGCCAGAGTCTTGTGTACACTGGCACGGCCTGGTAGATCGTACTATCGTGGAAGATTGTCCCTTCGACCCTTCGAAAGACCCTCACGAAAGGAACGAGGAGCGTCGACAGGGTCGACAGTTTAGGAGGCCGGCTGTGTACGCAACGCAGGACCGAGAATTAACTCGTTCTCTGTGTTAATCGATTTAGGAGAAGCCACGCGTGAAGTGATATTGTTGCGGGAAGAATCGACGATGCGTTTGTCGGGGTTACGATGTAATTAGAGGCCAAACAGCCATTAGCAGGGGTCGCGGTGCGGTTAAATATTTGGAAAATATATTGCGACAGATGTGGGCTGACTGAAAATTTATACCCGGAAAGGAAATTTATTCGTTTTTTATATAAAATAACATTTGCTCAACATTGTTGACGAGGAAAATGAAAGCAAGTGATTCGAGTCAATAATAAATACTACTTGTTAAACTTCGTCCATTCGAAGCTCAGTGCTTCATTATAAATTCTTCCAAGTACTCCATTAGTACGAATCCGAAATGTTTCCAAAAAGGCACCAAATAATGTTCTCACGTTCCGAAAAATACGATACATGTATCATGAAACCGTAGTTGCCCGGTGAGTTCGAAGTTTTTAAACAAAACCAAGGGGTTGTATGGGAGGTAGAAGCACGTGAAACGGTGCCGCAAAAGGGCGTAGATCCGGTTGGTTGCGTCAACCAGCCAAGCCGAAGTTTCGGAACCGCGTGTTGCACACACGTCGAAGCGGAACCGAGCATTAACGAGCGCCAGTCTCGAGAGCGATTTCCAGTTCTGAAGGGTCGTGGAAGAACACCAAAGGGGAGAGAAGAGTTTCTCTCTATTCCTTCGCGATTATCACACACTTGGGTGCGCCTAATCCACGCAACCCATCCCCGTATTCCCGCCTTTCCACCCCTTGACGCCCCTGTTTCCTTCGTTTCGAGTTCAAATCGCGCAGCTACCCTCAAAGCACTTGGATGAAACTCGTGTTTGTGCGACTGGTTCGCCGTGCAAAAACCGCGGCTACTTGAGCGATAGATAAATGAAAATCTCTCAGCATTGTGTGGCCTCCGATCGACGGCTCAGACGGCTTTGGCCGTGTCTTTGATTCCGCCGCGGGAACGGAAACGGTTGGAGAAAAATGGCAGCAGGTAGATAAAGGGCCGGGGAATGATCGTGACGCGAGAGTTTTCTAGCAGACGGCAGCTTTATCTTTTATTTATTCGCCGCGATTGGCCGTGATTCTGGAGAACCTACCCCTATTGCTAGGAGAAAAGCTGTTGCCATAACTACACGCTCGATATTTCTTAGAAGCTGAAGAGTACTCTTCTTATTATGATATAGACGAGTATTAACCCTTCCCAAAATAATTACCATATTTCATAGTACAAAGATTATAATTCAGGGGTTGATACTCCATCCTGCCACTTGAGGGTTAAAAATGAACAAAAAATTCATAAGAAAGGAAATATTTGCAATTTCATGAGAACTCCCTGACCCCGTTACACCGTTTACCCTTTTGTATTTTCAACGGGGTTGCAATTCATCTCTATCGCCCGGAATATCTTTCGCGTGAGCTTCGTATGTATTTTACCCCGCGTCGAGGAAGACGTTTATTCTCGACAGGTCGGGTAGTACGCCTCGCTCGACCGGAACACTGCAACCCCGTGGACCACCTGGGACACAGCCGGGGAGCCTCTTCAAGTACCAACCCTCTCTTTTTTCCGATCCTTCCTTTTTTCGCCGTTGTTCCATCGACGAAGATTTATAAGCACGAGAAAGGAGAGGCGGCGGTCAGCAATTTACGGCCGCCACTTACAACGCCACGGCGCATTCTGCGCAATTAATATTTATGCAGGATAGATCGGTAATCCTATTATACACTCGACACAATATCGGGATAATAAGCATCGTGGACAGTGCGTAATTATAGGGTGCGCGGGGTGCCCGAGGCGAGTGAAGGAATCGCAATTCAGGCGGTGTCCTTCAAAGATGGTCGGTTAAAAATTTCTCACGCTTCTTCAGGATCGAAGAATTTCTTCGTTTATCGAAAAATCCTATGGTATCGAGCGAGGTTTAATTATTTTACATTCAACGATATAAATAGTGTGTTCCTTGGGTAGATATTAACTTACTGACAAACTTTCTCGAAAGAGGAGCCAGTTACAAGAACTCGAAGTAAGCAGAATGGTAATTCAATCTTTTTCATACAACTTCCTGATACGAGAGAGATTTCTCCGTAGAAGAGGGTAGGGTAGAAGGGGTTTAACAAGGAACTCGTTTCGCCGCGGAAACTCCGCGGAACGATCGAACAGCGACGCGTGGAAGCGGATCAGGCGAGTAGAAAGAGGTGGTAGGAAAAGCCCGGAGAAAGGAAATTTCTATGAAAGAGAAACAAATGGGAAATGCGGCGTAATGCGCGGTAAATTGGGGCCACCGTGTGTTGTCGATGTACCACAAATCTTAGACACCAAGGTTTCGTGGCGAGTTACGGTTTCTCTGGGTTAGCTGGAAAAGCCGTCGAGAGAAAAAGAGAGGTTGTTTGGCCGATCGTTGGTGAACGACGCTTCCGTTTTCAGCTGCACGGAACGTTTCTCAGCAAGGACGAACGCTGGAATTATATTCCTTATCGCCGCGACGCTCGAAGTTGAAAAGAACTCCGTGCCGTGGCATTTGGCACGAATTTAAACGCGGCTTATCTACCTCGTCTCGCGTATTTTTCATTCGGTATCGACTGCGAGGCTTTATGAAATGGGGGTGTGTTTTCAAAATAATCAACAACAATGATATTTTTATAAATTTTCAGAGTTTAATGATACACAATTTTAGATACACCGTGTATAATGGTTCGTATTTAAATAGAATGACTGGTAACAATAAGGTGGACGACCTATTGCTTGTCGCAACGTGACTAATCTAATTTCTAATCACGCACCAGTGATTACCGCGAACGCGAGTCGTTAGACGTCTCTTCTTCCTCTTTTTGTCGGCTTGCTTTCGCCGAGTTCAATGGGCTCGGTGTAATCAGTCATTCACATGGTTCGAGCTGTCCGAACAGTTCGAGTTCAACTGGTCAGCGACACGATCGAGACGAATTAGCGTTCAGAATCGTAATTAGAAAGGTTGAACCCGTGATTCCCTGCCAACGTCTAGCCGATTAAATCGAAACTGATAGGGAGTCGAATTGATATCTGTTTTTTAATTGCGTACAGCTATTCGATTACGTTAAACTATGCTGCTCGAAATAATTGGAGGATCAGTTAGCTGCCCCAATCGCTTTATTTTTTTTATTGAAACACTCTTGTTTTTACCGCTGCAGGCATATTTACAAATTGTACTGGTTTCAATAATTTCATTTAAATTATTCGAGAATTAAAATATAGTTCAAAACGTTCTGAAGAATAATTGCCATTTAAAATAGCAATAGTAATTCAGCAAGTATTTACCAAGAAATCTGTTTTCCCGATGGAAAACGATCGAACGAAATCCCGTGGCGAACTACCCTCTCCAATTTCCGAGATCAACCCCCTACCACAGTTTCTTTTCGCTCCGGTTCGCGTGGAACTTCGTTTTCTTGCCGCTCGCGTTTTCCAATTCGCGGCGAATGGATCGGTCGCGCGGAAAATAAGAGATTGCCGCGATCTTCTCCGCGTCTCGTGGTTGCACCACCACCTCTCCCTCCGTTGCGGGTGGAGAGAAAACAAGCAAGAGGGAGCTACCGACGGGAAGAAAGAACGAGAGGGTTGAAGAAGAAAAAGCGAGCGTTTGAACCGGAATTCCGCGGTGCGGGGCTGTTCGACGCCAAGCAGAATGAGAGGCTTTTAATTCTAGCGACGTTTACTTCCGGCGTACGTGACCCACTTCGTTCGGTAGCTTCTCAAAAATTGCTTCCAACACTGTTCCAACCTGTTTTCTATTCGCGCAGGATCTTCTCGCTGGTTTTTTGAGCGTAATTGAAAATCCTCCGCTCTTCTGCTTCGTTCGTTCCTTCTTTCTTCGACGGGATCCTTGTTGCGCGTGTAAGGGCCGTCCGGTGCTGGCATTTCCATAGACCGGTCGTTGAGCGGAGCGCTCGACGCTGGATTATCGTTTCCTTTTTATCGGGGTCGTGGCATAGTTCGCGCCGCGTTAGACCCGCTCTGTTAGAGAAATAGTTTCCTCTCGCTGAAACGCCGACTCGTAAGGCCGTTATGCGAGACCGAACATTTGCTACTTGCATCGCTTGCGGGAAGTTACTTGGCAATTAACGATATCGCGATGAACATACCACCACCGGAATTCTTCTTTTTTTTCACTGGCTACTTCTTTTAATTCCTACGTATGTTTCCACGCGGTGCGGTGGCGCGTTTCTTTCTACGACGAGTAAAGGATTAATCTGTAGAGACCTTTACTTTACAAGTTAGCTTTTGTTTAAGAACTTTTCAATAATTTCAATTTGGTAGACTGTATTAAGGTAGCAT